GCTCGTTGAAGCCCAGGGGCGGGCCGAGGGGGAGGGGGGCTCACTTCTGTCTGCAGTCGGAGCAGTCACAGCTCATCCCGTCCCTCCGACGTCCGACGCAAGCTGAGCATTGCGAGAACGTCCACGTCCCAGGCACTGCTTCACCTCCAGTGCCGCGCCTGCGTGCGCTCCTGCTGGGCAGCTCGCCACACGCCATGTCCATGCTCAGCTCGAGCAGTGCGGCCAGGTGCGCGACCAGCCCCAGGCCCCAGGAGGCGTTCGCGGGGCGGGCGCATGTCGGGGGAGGAGGGGGTGGGGGGGACTCGGTGTGTAGCAGGTGCAAGACGCGGCACGACCACGCCTGCACACTTCCGTCCTCGGAGGGTGCGGTACGCCGTCCACTTAGGGGTGGCCGATGGCCCGCAGCACCACCAGTGTTTGCGAGCATGACGACGCGACGCCTGCCGGTCTACCGTGTCCTCCCCTACCTGCAAGTACTGGCCAGGAGGGCTCGGGGGCGGGACGACGTCCCCGACGACGAGGCGACGGCCTGGTGGTGCGCCAAGGATGAGGTGGGGGAGGTCATTGTGGAGAGGAGTCTGCCCGGGCCCTCGCTCCTTGACCTCCGAGAGTTGATGGCGCCCCTTGAGCTTTACTCGCTTCGTGTCCTCGGCCTCCAGTTTCCCGCCCCCCTGATATTGCCGATCACAGTCTTATCGGCAGAGCCGTGTGTAACGATGGATGTGTAAAAGTTCTGCTGTTACGTAAAACGGGTCCTTCTTTCAGGCGTAAATAATAATGGTCCGGCCGGGCGGCTGTCCGGTGTCAAAGAAGTTAGTGTTAAAGCATCGTTTACGTCATTGCAATGTATTGACGTCCAATGTTTTTGTGTTTGTTGCATGTGACTGTCGCCGCTGGTGCACTTTGCCTGCCTGCATCTTGTTGCAATTCCCCGCCCTGCCAAGGCTCGTCTGCTTTGCCAACTGCTGTATATAAATAACGCATTGGACGTTTTCTCGCTCTTTTTTACACTCCTCTTACCTGCTCTGCTGTGCACTACGTTTTAAATAAAAGCTTGCATTTTCATTAACGCTATAAAAACAAATTATTTCTCTTGTCTTAATGCTCCCTTTCCCCAATCCTTATGAAGCACAAAGCTGGTGGACGGAGAGAAGATGTAAGAATTCAGGTAAGTCCAACGCCCTACTCCTTTACGAGCTCCTCAGTCACCCTTGCCGCTCCCTGCAGCGTGTGGTCTTCCCTGCCGTTCCGCCCGCACCTCGGAAGTTTCCGCTGTCTGAGAAGATAGCTAAATTAATTTTAGCTATTGATTCGATTACTGTGACTTCCGCAAAGTACGCCCGGTTCGCTCAGATTCATTAGGCGAATCACGGTAGCTTGGCGCTGGCGCCTGCGAAACTCAGGGTGGGCCACCCCGCAGTACACGCACGCACATCAACCAAGATGCTGCCTACCTACTAGGCGCTTCATAGAAAACTCCAGAAAGTAGGCCACAAGTGCCCGTTTCTTGTTGACTCGTTCGCCAACCACCCTCTCCCTGGTGCCTGTGACCATCAGGTGGAACTAACAGGCGAGCTCTAGGGCATGAGGCCACCACTGCGTGCGAGACGCCCAGGAAACCTCTAGGTTCAGATGAAGCAGCCCAGCGCCGCGGGGCCTGGGGCGGCGAGAACCCACCGGGAGCTACACACCTGCACGCCCGCCCCGGCTTAGTGGGCCACTTGTTCTCGTTCAGCACGACCACGGACTTGAACGACACGGGTGGACTAGGCAACCAGGATGTCGGCAGCGCCATCAAACGCGTTCCCGAGACCTGCCCGCCCGAGATACAACAGAGCTCTCCCATGGTGCAGAAGGGGGAGGGG